ATCACAATCAGAAGAGGGAATAACAATTCACAAAGGACATGAAGCTCCTTGAATATGATATTCTAAAAATTAAATTAAAGCCCCCATTTGCATGAAAACCACTGCAATGTTGTTCATGAGAGGCCTCAAAATGTCCCCACCCCTCCCAACTGATTTTAAATGGAGTGATGATCACAATTTGAGCTAGTGTTACGAAGCCGTCACAACTGTTACCACACATGTACCTGAACACATGACTGCTTATCCGTTTAACAGGATATACAGCTACTTGGTGCTTTACAAACTACATGTAGTAACCTTGCAAGCGAATTATCTCTTCTTCAATTATACATGTAACAATTAAACATGGAGCTCTAAGGAAACTTTCTACTCCAATGAATTTAACATAATACTAAATCCATGTATCTCTTAGGTAATACCTTTTCAGTCTGATTTTGTCATGTAAACCTTCAAAAATTGTTAAAAAGAGCATCAAGTAGTGTGACACATTTCAGTTAGACCAATGCCACTTTTGTCAGTTTTATAAACCCTTTGTACATCTGAATGTCAAATGATAGCACTTTGTTATTATTCAATATAAAAACAATTGGATTTTTCTGTCATTTAATTAGGATATCTCCCAAGATGATACCTGCAAAAAATGATAAATATATTCTTCTTCTTCCATTTGAGTACATCCCTCTTTACAGAGTATTGTCATACTATACCAGGGTGTGCAGGTGGACCACTACACCGCGGCTTCCCCTTCTCTTATACAAATAGTGCAGATCGTTCTTCATGTGCAAAAGTAGTGACTCTTCTCTACACGGAGCCTCCATTCAACGTCCTATCCGAGGAGCGGAGTGTTTTCCACTTAACATAGCCTGCGTCTATGAAACAAGGGGAGGGGCACGTTAACACACAACACAGGCTTCAGTCATCCGCCTGGGTGGGATAACCAAACAACCAAACTATCTTTAAAGAAAGTTGATGTTGTTACAAATGTACTGCTCCAATTCATTCATTTTGGCACTTGGTAGAGTTCTCTTTTCACAAGATACCAGAGCAAGATAGAAACATGTTAAAGGCTTTAATAGAATGGGCTAGAGGGGCGACACACATCTCAATCTTTGAAAACCAGCTATAGACAGCCCCAATAGATGTATTCTCTTGAGTATAATAATTAGGAGGATCTAATTTTCTCTTCAAAGAATACACAACGCATCGTTTGTGAGGAGTTCGTAATAGAAAGGAACGGAGCACAGCGTTGATCAACACAAGCGCATAGCCAGGATTTCATTTTAGGGGGGGCGGTAGTGAGCACGCGAAGCGTGTGAATCACTTTAAGGGCGCGCGAAGCGCGCTCCCTAGGGGGGTGGGTGCAGGGAGGGGGAGTTTCCCCCCTCCCGCGCAAAGCGCGGAAGCTTTGAAAGAAGACGATTCGTTGTACCTTTCTCGACTCGTAATCCTTGTCTGAATTCAGTCCCTCCCCCCTCTTGCGCGAAGCTTTGACGTTTCATTATATTACTAGAGAAAGGAGACGATTCGTTGTACCTTTCCCGACTCTTAATCCTTATCTGTATTCAGTCCCCCTTCCGCGCAAGGCGCGGTAGCTTTGAAAGAAGACGATTCGTTGTACCTTTCTCGACTCGTAATCCTTGTCTGAATTCAGTCCCTCCCCCCTCTTGCGCGAAGCTTTGACGTTTCATTATATTACTAGAGAAAGGAGACGATTCGTTGTACCTTTCCCGACTCTTAATCCTTATCTGTATTCAGTCCCCCTTCCGCGCAAGGCGCGGTAGCTTTGAAAGAAGACGATTCGTTGTACCTTTCTCGACTCGTAATCCTTGTCTGAATTCAGTCCCTCCCCCCTCTTGCGCGAAGCTTTGACGTTTCATTATATTACTAGAGAAAGGAGACGATTCGTTGTACCTTTCCCGACTCTTAATCCTTATCTGTATTCAGTCCCCCTCCCGCGCAAGGCGCGGTAGCTTTGAAAGAAGACGATTCGTTGTACCTTTCTCGACTCGTAATCCTTGTCTGAATTCAGTCCCTCCCCCCTCTTGCGCGAAGCTTTGACGTTTCATTATATTACTAGAGAAAGGAGACGATTCGTTGTACCTTTCCCGACTCTTAATCCTTATCTGTATTCAGTCCCCCTTCCGCGCAAGGCGCGGTAGCTTTGAAAGAAGACGATTCGTTGTACCTTTCTCGACTCGTAATCCTTGTCTGAATTCAGTCCCTCCCCCCTCTTGCGCGAAGCTTTGACGTTTCATTATATTACTAGAGAAAGGAGACGATTCGTTGTACCTTTCCCGACTCTTAATCCTTATCTGTATTCAGTCCCCCTTCCGCGCAAGGCGCGGTAGCTTTGAAAGAAGACGATTCGTTGTACCTTTCTCGACTCGTAATCCTTGTCTGAATTCAGTCCCTCCCCCCTCTTGCGCGAAGCTTTGACGTTTCATTATATTACTAGAGAAAGGAGACGATTCGTTGTACCTTTCCCGACTCTTAATCCTTATCTGTATTCAGTCCCCCTCCCGCGCAAGGCGCGGTAGCTTTGAAAGAAGACGATTCGTTGTACCTTTCTCGACTCGTAATCCTTGTCTGAATTCAGTCCCTCCCCCCTCTTGCGCGAAGCTTTGACGTTTCATTATATTACTAGAGAAAGGAGACGATTCGTTGTACCTTTCCCCGACTCTTAATCCTTATCTGTATTCAGTCCCCCTCCCGCGCAAGGCGCGGTAGCTTTGAAAGAAGACGATTCGTTGTACCTTTCTCGACTCGTAATCCTTGTCTGAATTCAGTCCCTCCCCCCTCTTGCGCGAAGCTTTGACGTTTCATTATATTACTAGAGAAAGGAGACGATTCATTGTACCTTTCACGACTCTTAATCCTTAATTTGAACTCAGTCTCCCCCTTCCCGCGCGAAGCGCGGAAGCTTTGACGATTCGTTGTACCGTTCTCGACTCTTTTTCCCTCTTTCTTCCTTCGTCCTCTTTCTTTTTTTTCTTCTCTTTCTCTCTCTTTTTTTTTTTGGCCGGCGTTTTGGGGGGGGCGACCGCCCCCACCGCCCCCCCCTGGCTACGCGCCTGGATCAACATTGCATACCAACTAAACATCACAAGCAATAAGCTAGGCTAGTTGTATACAATAAAAGGTTGGTTTTGTAGGAATAGAAGTTTATTTGAATTAGTTTGTAAGAAAGAGAGTTAAGTAGGAAAAACATACAACTTGTAAGTATTCTATGCCAAAGATAAATGAATGCAGTTGTGTATAGATGTCATGCTGAAATTTACAGAATTGCTACAATTATTCCCACAAAATTATATTTCATCTTGTGGTGCATATAGTTACATGTCCAGTTTAGCTGGTTTCAAAACTGCTATTATGCAATGCATCATATATGCTGAACATTTGAACAAATTTTCATCAAAATTTATATTTGATTTCAAAGGGAGAAACAAGGTTTGCAGGAAGATCATGGGGTATTTTAAGCACAATTAGTTAGGAGGAGTCTTATCAAAAGCAATCCACACATTCTGAAATGCACTATTAACCAGTTGACAACTAAATTCTCTCATTTCCATAGGTTTAGGTAAAAGAGCCACCCAGTTCTCATAGCAAGTGGGTTAATTCTCCCTAAAACATCAGCAATAAAGTACTAATAAGATCATGCTATCCTTGGTAATAGAGCTAGGAGGCTATATAGCTATAAGACACACTCACAATATTACAAATTCTAGTTATATATCCTAACACATTATAACAAGGATAGAAAAAGCCATAGAGGATAATGGATGTAAAATAAGCACATCTTCATTAGCAACCATCAAAGTATAACAACAGATTTTGTTTCCCTTGAGAGCAATGTTTTTTATGGAAACATGTATTAGATGAACCTGCACATGAAACCACCTGCTTATAAAGGCTGCAATTCTGGTATCGTGAGTGGTCTTACATGTGTTATAGCTCCCAGAAACAAATATCTGAGAATGACTTGTTGTGCCTGTATCATGGCGCCATGCAAATAAAGCTTGATGGATCAGGGTGATTGATTGTTTCTAAGTCACTTGAAACAGATCAATAATAAAATAAAGTAACAAGAAGACTGGAACAAATCCCATTGACGGTGTAATCATCTTACGCCCAGCCTTAATTCAGACCACAAGAATCGGATAATGGATTAATGGTTTATCAATCAATACAAGGGGGCAAGGAAGAACAATCCATTATCCTTCAACAAGATCTTGCAAAGAACCGAAAGTGCCAAGATGGAGTAAGTATTACTACTCGGGAACACCTGAAAATAATCATATAGGCTTACCGATTTAGGAGTACTTATGCAGAATAAGAAGTGATATCATAGGAAGAGCAATCTGATAGAATTTAAAGATTATCTTGCAAAATCTCCAAGAGAGTCTAACTCTAAAAAATAAATTGCTCAAACAGATGAGGGAGAAAAGCATACCTATAGTTACTGCTGGAATTAATCTTCTCATGAAATTTGACAGAATTTGCCCTTTTGATAGATATTGTCAATCAACCTTGAAAGTATGATACTTAATATTATGACTGTGATTTAGTATCTCTAGGCCTGTCATCTTCAGCTTGAGATTGCCAAATAACCCGCTATTTGAATTATACCGAGCGCAACTTATCCAGCTAATTTGCGTCCTCATCAGCCTGCAGTTACAAAAAGCGGGATATTTGGTCGAGATAATCAGATAAATCTTGGACTATATAGTTTGCAAAATATTCCGCTATCTGTCCGGTGCATCTTCACCAGCCCAAAGACTCGCACTATGCACGAAAGGCTGAGCAAAATATCCCAAGCTAATTTCTCAAGGCCGAGTCTCGAGCTGATGAAGACGTGATTTGTAACTTCGGGCTCACTTCCCAAATGAGAAATAGCAGGCTATTTGGCAATCTCGAGCTGATGTAGACACACCTAATTATATCTTTATCACATGCACTGCTTACTTGCCCCTGCATATTGATATATGTTTTGTTTAACTCACCTGACCTGTGAAGTCTCGATGGTTCACTCCTTCTATATACTCCTGTTTCAGCCTAACATATGCTGCGATCCTCACAATCTGATGAGTTCCATCTAGATACAGAAAAGTTACTGTCCCTTTTTTGCTGTAGGCTGGCTGAACATTAATCCTGTCAAAAACCCTCAGAACATTCAATGTAACTTCCTTCTTGATGGTAATCACAAAGAGAGGTGTAACTGTTTTCTCCTCAATGTTCCACTCCTGTTTACAGAGAAAGAATGGAGTAAGGGTAATGTTTAGAGTTTGGTCTGGGCCAGTCTGTTACTCCTCACCACCCATGCTGGCTGTATTGTCATCTGAAGAATGGGGCACACAATAGGGCTGTTAACACCCTCACAATGGACTAGAGCTGTTCTTCCATGGACCCTTTTCTTTGTATTCATCTCCAGTCTATTATTCTTTTGCCCCCACCAAGGCTTCCTTTCTCTCTCCGTGATCACCGAGTTAAAGTCATAGAAGTATTTCTTAGGAATCAGAAGCTCTAGATGATACAAGTGTTGGTATACACAAGCACAGGACTGTTTGGAAATGGGAAGAGCTACCCATTGTCCTTGCTTCCTCATTTGTGTGGTGTTTAACAATTCCTTGTAATTGCTGCATAGCAGATCTCCATACTAAAATGTACAATGCAATTTGAAGTACCACTTTCATTGAATGAAGAACGATTTATTCACTCAAAATAATGGAATGCTAACTGTATTATTTCATAGGCAGTGGGATATTGTGTAAGGCTAACATTGCAGTTCAATCCTAGGACCAATGTACACACAAAACTAAAAAACATTGTGTAAATGGAAAAATCATCATATGCTATTAAAATTTTCTGCTCTTGTAAATCGTATATCACAATATGAATCAACATCTCTATGATTCCACAAGACTATGGTTAAGCTTCAGTAGGTACTTAAAGGTACTATGTCCCATTTGCAGGCCAAAGAAATGAAAAAGTTAAATTCCAACTGCATTTGAAAGATAATACTAATTTAGAACTTCCCTAAAAAAGGTGGGGCTTGAAAATGTCTTCAAGTGGGAAAATAACGACTATTAGTTGTCAAATCGACTTTAGGGCTATAGAGCCCAAAAGTAATAGTCTTGATTTTCAGACAATTGTACCGAATGGTCATACGTTTTATGCTGCGCAAAGATTCAATCAGTTTAATCTTGGCCATCACAAGAAGTGGGTTATTGATGTAGACAAATGCTCATGTACCCTTTACAACTCTTTTCATGTGTGTTATTACCAAAGAAGAAAAAAGCCAGTCAGTCACTCGATAGTGTCTGACAGTGAAGTCTAGCAAGTAAACGGGTTTCCTTGCATAATTTGAATATGAGGACACTGCTAACGTTTAAATTTCACAGATAGGACATACGTGACATATTCATAATTCCTGCAAAGTTCCACAGAATTTGAGGTTAGCTGCAAAAGGGACATAGTACCTTTAATTAACAGGTATCAATATCTATCATTGCCCTGACAGAATTTTTTGTTGTCAATTCCAAAAATGGGAATAGAATAAAACATGGGACACTTGAGTTAAGGCCCCAGGGGAAACAAATGACATCTTATCATGAATATAAAGCAGATACATCAGATTAAAGCCCCACTGTACTAGCTACTTTCGCCCTCTATATAGCAAACAATGCCTATCCAGTGTCTGTTGGCCCCCTACTCCCCATGATCCCCTTATTCTTATGTTAATTGAGAGCTGATTTGATGAGATAACCACCTGTCAGTGACCTTGCAGGGAGGTCTAATCCCCCTGTCCAAACTAGTACAGGCAGGCTTTTAAAAAATTGGAATTTCAGTCATGTGCTGTCATAACCTTCTTTTCACCCATCTTTGTGTACATCATAATCTCTCAAATTTCTATGTTTTCCAAGCTGATTTCATATGCCTTCTAAGGTAACTGAACAGTCTAATCCTTGGATCGCTGTCATCACACAAAAGCCTCACGATGATCTCTTAATGATACCTTGAGCAGACAGACTGGTAAACAGGTCTTCGCTAGACATCAAAGATCAGGCTGATGATCGGCGCCTCTCTCTATGAATATACAACCTTCACGCTCTCATGTGAGATCATAAAAAGACTTTGGAGAGGGTCGGTCTAGCTGAAGTCAATACACATGTTACCGGATTAAGAGTGTCCACAAACACCTGGGTGTAAATAGGCTCTCAGACATAGTTTAGGAAAAGCAGGTTGGTGTTATATATATTTGATTGTGATTAGTAACTGAGGGGTTTGCAAAGGCAAGATCTAGAAATGTGAAAGCATAATGGAGTTTAGAATGAAAGAAAACAAGTACCGTATTTGCCGGCGTAAAGGCCGCACCCCCGATTTTGACATTTAAAAAAAAAAAAAAAAAAAAAAAAAAAAAAAAAAAAAAAATGTTTTTTTTGTTTTGTTTTGTTGTTGTTGTTTTGCTGCCGAAAACCCACGCGTGGAAGGACCTTCATTTAACATCGAGGTGCAGTTAAAGGCGCTGATATGTGCTTGTAAACTTGTCACAAATAATAGTAACAATGTCGTTTTTAGAAGAATGTGTAAGATCATTAATGTGAATTAAAAACAATAAAGTACCTATGATACCAGTGGTGTACCTTGTGGTACACCATTTGTTATAGAAAAAAATTTGAGGAACTATTATTATAAACATATTGAGATCTATTAGAAAGATTACTTTCAAACCAAGATGACAGTCAAATTTTAGTGTTGTTGTAGTTTCCGAGTGGTGAGTCAACACACTGATTACTGAGCTGGGAGACATTGCCAGGCATAGCGCCATAAATCGCACCCCAACTTTTTGATATTTTCTCTTCCAAAAATACTGCGGCCTATACGCCGGCAAATACGGTAACTGGAAAAACCTGTTGTATCCATTGCTTTTATTTGGATCAATATAATCATGCTTACACCAATACATTCACTACTTGACAGAAACACCCTCAAATTAAATGTTCCAAGACCTAAGCTTACTTTAACACATCCACTGTTGAAATTCAACTCTTGAATGAGACTAAATACTCATTGAGACTTGAAGGCTTTAGACTGACTTCTAAGTTCTTCTGGGGAGAAGTGTAAATTGAAATATTTTTTTCTGAAGAAAAAAACAAACAAACAGCAGAGCAGACCAATTTTCAGCCTAAATGCACGAGGCATGACAAATTGGTGATTTCACGGTAACAATTGTGGACTCTCGATCACATCGAGCACCCCAAATCCTCCTTTGATGAAGTGACCGGTGCTGTCATAAGAAGCCAGCATAGGAGATTACTCTACAACACATTAGCTTCAAGTAATCAAAATACTAGAAGTGAGCATACAAAGACTTACAGCTGATAAATGCTGGCGTATTTGTACAAACAAGGCCTTTTGAAACAGATACCATAATTGCGGTCATAAAATGGCATTCCTCACAATCTTATTAGAAGTCAACATCTAAAGAAAAGACTACGTTAACCAACTTCAGAAAGGGCCCCCCCCCCCCCGAAGAAAGTCATTCTACACTAACCACCTTGAGATGACAACTCATTCACTATTCCTGACATCTGTGCAGAAACAGATACAGAACTGGTAAAAAAGATATATTGAGCATGTTCCACTGAGAAACTTATATGTTTAAAAATAGATTTGTCACTATATCAGGCATATTATATTGACAGCAGTATGTTAACAAAATAACTTTGCTATGTACTGTACAAGTACATATTAACTTTAAACAATATCTTCAAATTCAGTGAACCCTGCACATTTCTAGGAATCTATAAAAAAAAAATTAAGTAGTTGTACTTGTTTGGTGGTCTTTGATACTCTTTTTCTATTCATCCTCAACAGTAATTTAAACAAGTAATTTTGGGTTTTAGGGTCCAGCATACAAATTACGAATGATCTGGACAAGGGTTTTAGACAGTTCAGTTTCTGCTTTTCTTTCAAGATAAAAAGTCAAACCTATCATTATCGTGATTATAGATTACATCACCACCTCACTTCACTATATCAATCAGGATTAACAGCTTCCCTACAATAGTTATCTATCTAACTTACGTGATTATACTGTCTAATCCCCTGTGAAAAGAAATATATTATCCTTGCTAACAGATCATCCTATCATTGGTTCCTGGTCCTTGTGATAAAAGAACTGTAGTGATATTTGATTTGTTGATTTAAACAAAAATATTTGTCACTCGGTTAAATATGACAAGTCGTCAAAACTGATTTAAAATCTAATAATCTATTGTTTCGGTTACCTTCGGAAGCCAATATTCAAACAGAGAGACTAAAAAAATGTAATGTCTGCGGTGGGGACCAAAGGGGGTGAATACAAAATATTTGTATCCAAGGGTCACCACGTCAGCCAAATATGTTTTGTCAGAAGCTTAAAAAGTTACAATTTTCCTCAATATTCAATAATTTGTTGCCTAAGGGCCATCAGAATTATAGCTGCGTGAAGCTGTCTGTACCAATCATAGAGAAGAACCTTGGGTGAAATATATCCCTCTTAATCCGGTGTTATATCAATGGTCGAACACAAATACAGACCCAGGGGCTGGGCTTACCCCCCTTTGCTTGTGGCAGACGGAAAAAGTTTTGATGTGGGTTGTTGGTGACCCCTGGGAGGGGGTTGCGGTTGATCCCAGGGAGATGCTGGATGGTAGCAAGAATGGAAGAAAGGACTAGAATGACCTTAATACATCCATGGAAATTATAGTAGAGAACAGCTAAACTCTTGAAAAAATAACATGCAATACAACAGAATGTTAACAATGGATCAACAAAACTTATTTACCCCTCTTCAGTTCCGTCTCCGGACAGACTATGTACTCCCAAACACTTAATTCACCCATGCTTCACCCCTCTCTCCTATCCCTATTCTCCAATGTCTCTGCTATTTGAGACATAAATAACTAACCCAGCATTTCATTACATTTACAAATATTGAAGCATGGCATATGATTATTCTTTCATAATGCAAGTATATAAACATCTGCTCCCTGTCTACAGATTATGATTGACTTCAAGATATGGAGATTATTAATATCTGCATGGTTCGTGCAGTAAGGAGGAGGAGGAGGAGGAGGAGGGGGTAGAGATCGAGGCATATAAAGGGGTGATGCCTAGGGCACATCACTGCCAATGACCCTCGTCATGGGGTGAGATTGGGGGCACTGACTCCAGAGAATTGCATGGTGCAATGTATCAC